ATGACTGAGAATCTTCATCAGCATAGGGATGGTGTTCTTGGGATTATACTTATCATTCTTCTTCCTCCAAACACGGTTAGTGGAATTATGACCAAAAAGTTCTATTTTGGTCTCATCTGACGTGACTTTCTCCCATGACTCCTCTGGTTCATCCAAAGGGTCTTTTGCAAACTAAAGACGGGCCTTGAAATGTCCTGGTTCATGCAGGATTTCAGTAACCATGGAAACAGTGGTCCCAGTTCTTTTCAGGTTAATGACCAGCTCCTGCAGTGTAGCTCTGGGCTGATTTCTCACCTTTCTTAGGATCAATGAGACCCCACCAGGTCAGATCTTGCAAGGAGCTCCAGTCTGAGGAGACTGACAGTCATGTTTAGCTTCTTCTATTTTCTAATGATTGCTCCAACAGTGGACCTTTTTTCACCAAGCTGCCTGGTAATTATCCTGTAGCCCTTTCCAGCCTTGTGGATGTCTAAAATTTAGCCTCTAGTGTCTTTGGACAGCTCTTTGGTCTTTTCCATGTTAGTAGTTGGATTCTTACTGATTGTGTGCGGTGGACAGGTGTCTCTATGCAGCTAACCACCTCAAACAGGTGAATCTAATGTAGGATAATAATTTAATGTGGACATTTGGAAGGCAGACTAACAGGTTTTTTACAGTCAGAATTCTAGCTGATAGATGTTCAATTACTTATTTGCAGCTGGATCATACAAATAAACAGTTAAAAAAATCATATATTGTGTCTCACAGTGGACATGCACCTACGATGACAATTTCAGACCCTCCATGACCATGATTTCTAAGTGGGAGTTTGCGAAATAGCAGAGCGTTCAAATACTTATTTTCCTCACTGTCTAGTTGTTAAAATGGCTTTGAAGCACTAAGGACTCTGGGAAATGGGGTTTGAGCCATAAATGTTTATGTCGGCTCTTTTTTTTCCCAGTTGGAGGAAATCAGGAACATCGGCGCTCTGCCGTGCCTGGAGAAACTCAACCTTTCCAGTAACCCCATTTGCATCATCCCAGACTACAGAACCAAAGTCCTGGCCCAGTTTGGAGACCGGGCAGCAGAGGTACATCTTCACATTTGGATTTGAAGTTCTGAACCTGGTCGCATTCAGAGCTCGGCCAATTTGGTTAAGATAAAAGTTGATGAATCGTCTAAAAATAATGTTTAGGGAAATCACTCCAGCCTGTCTCTGAAGCTGTCATTCTAACGTCTCCTGGACTCCGGCAGGTTTGCTTGGACTGTAAAGTGACGACGGAGAAGGAGCTGGACACAGTAGAAGTGCTGAAAGCCATTCAGAAAGCCAAAGAGGCCAAAGACCGCATGAGCCACAACGACAAGAAGGTAAAGACCGGCCGACTCCCACAGGGAGCTTAACATCCAAACTAACAGACTGACCTGGTGAAATGTTGGCACCTCCTCCAGCTGCGTTTATATGGCGAAAATCTGTCTGACCACTGCTGCATGCGTTTTCATTCGCTGATTCGAGGTCCTTAAAGAGACAAGTTTCTCCTGTACATTTACATTCAAGCAGACAATTGTGTTTAAAAATATCGTTTCTGCCGCCCCAGCCTGAATTCTTATTTCCAGCATAATGAGAAGATAGTCTGGCTAGAATCCTGGGATGATGCTAAATGATCAGGTGACTGTTTTAGATGTAATGATGGGAGCCGTACAGGTCATACAATGTCCATTTATGACCATAAAGTCAGATTTAGAGCTGGTTCAGTCCAGTTTTATTATTAAAAACAATCATGAGGTTTAAAGGCGTTTGGTTCCTGTCCATTGAGGCAAAGCTGGCAGCAGAAATCCCTCCTACCGATCAACCATGTTTCAGGGAACCAGTCGGCTTTAACCTGGAAAGAACCAGACTCAGAATGATCAACAGAGACGGAAAAGACCCGCGCTGAGCCAGAAATGCTTTCTAATAGGAAAATGTAATGTAACAGTAGGAGTTAAGCTAAAAGCTGTAGCTTTGACCTCCTGTGCTGCTGGTTGATCTCCTCCTCTTTGTTCTCCTGTCAGATCAGTGAAGACACCAAGCCGTCTGCTGCTCCTTCCTCCTCTTCATCCTCTTCGTCCTGTCCGGCCCAGCAGTCTGCCTGCCCCAGCCAAGGTAATCATGTATGTATCAGGCTGTGCAGTGCAGAGGAAGTATGAATCAATCCTATTCTTTTTTAGCTGAATATGGAGCCTAAATGGCTCAGATCTACTTTTAAACTCAGAACTAATTAAACACAAAAGTCTTCTTCCTTTTCTTTATCTCAGATGGGTTTTTTTTTTAGCATCTCTAACATGTTTGTTACAGAAATGACGAACAGAGAAGACGCCCCCCAACCCCCCGCCGCTCCCCCCCCTGTGGACGCTGCACTCCCCCCTGAGAGCTCAAACACAAACACACACCTCCTGTCTGCTCAACCTGCTCAGGTGAGGCGCTAACATACCCGGTAACCTTGGTAACCAAAGACCAGGAACCAGAGGGGTGGAGGGGACCTTTTGCGTTTGATCCGACAGAAAACCGTGTCGGACGAGGTCATGCCACTTAGCGCTCAATGATCACAGGGTTCCTACAGCATAAGGCAAGTTAAATTCAAGACTTTTTAGAGTTTTTAATGCCACTTGAAATAAAAATTTAAGACCAAATTCACAAGAAAAACCTGCTTGTGACAACTTAACCCAAAGGTTTATTTTAACATAAACCACTGCACTAATGTTTCAAATGTTGAAAAGCTTCCCATACAGGAAGAAAGCTAAAAACACACAAATGACAGATATATTTGAACAATTATTTAACTGAATTCACAAACTTTGTTTTAGCAGGGAACAAAACCAATCAGTTTTAAAGCCCCAACATAACCAGTGCTAAGTCTTTTTTGCAGCTATTTTTCTTTGTATGGTTTTCTTAGTATGTTTGATTTGGTGATAAGTGGAGGCGTTGCAGAGACAAGGGCGGAGAAAGAACCAAAAAAAATGTACAACCAGAGCCAACGGGTTTGCGGGTTCACCTTGTATAACTCCAGTTCACAGCACATCATCTTAATGCCCTCGCTGAGACGAGCCAATTCACTAACGGGCATGTGGCAACAGGGAAGAGGAACAAAAGAAAGTTTCACTTTGAGTCTCTGAAATCAGCTGTGTTGGTGGTTGGCTGCCTGCAGAGGGAGGAGACGTCCGGAGAATCTATCATCAGATCCCAGCTGGGCTTTGGGTAGCATGCAGGTCACACCATGCTGGACAGCCAGTAAAAACATGGAATCCGTTTTGTTTTTACACCAACTTTTTTAGGTTGAGGACAGCTTAAGAATGATCCATATCGGTTGGTAGTGCACCTATGTGTGGAGTCCTCAAAGTGGGTTTGATTCTGACCCGTGGTCCTTTGCCGCATGTCTCTGACAAACATGGATGCCTCCAGTAAAGTACATTCAAATGAAAATTACTCTGAATTAAAAGCACTGATTATTTATTGATTAATTTCCTTTTTAAAGTGCTTCTAGATGTTTGAATTCTGAATATGACTGGACTTTTCCTTTAAATATCACTCCTTTTGTAGTCCCTGGTCCTGTAGTTATGGAATCTACATTGTGTAGTTCTGGCGTCCATCAAGGAGCCCAGATCTGAGGTGTTTAGAGCAGACGTTATTTCATTATTTCCGCTATACAATAGACCATGAGCGCAAAAAAGTATACCGTAAATTCCGGACTATAAGCCGCTACTTTTTTCCTGCTGTTTGAACACTGCGGCCTATAATACGGTGCGGCTAATACATGTTTTTTTTTATCAATGCGTGGAGCCGTGTGAAAACATCCCGCATCACCGGCGGGTTTCAGAAGGCTGGGCTGCTGCGGGATGAAGAGGACCGCGAGAGCGACAAGGATGAGACTGAAGTCAGCGACGGCATCCTGAAGCTGTTCCATTCAGACACCGAGGAAGAGGACTTTGAGGGTTTTAGTGCGCAGGAGGAAGAAGAGAGCGATTGATGACTTTTCCTGGTCGGCTGCAATGTTCTGTGCATTGTTCAATTAAAAGTACCGGCATATGCAGCGTTATTTGCGTCTTACCGACACATACGTATATTTAGATGTGTTACAGGTAGTTTGAAAAAAACAAAAGCATCCATAATATGTACCGTATTTGTTTGTTTTATCAAACGTTAAAAAAATGCTCACTTGTAATATCTTTATTTGTAAATATCTCATAGAACGGGGAAATCTGCGGCTTAAGATCCGGTGCGGCTTATAAAAGTACAAATTTTATTTTCTTTCTAAAATTAGAGCGTGCGGCTTGTAATCAGGTGCACTTTATAGTCCGGAATTTACGGTAATTAATCAAATTTCCCATTCCTGTTTTCATTTATTATAATAATTATAATTTTTTAATCTATGCAGGTAAAACTTTCTGCATTCATTCCGTCTCAACAACCGCTCTGTGGAGCCGCAACAACCAACACAACGTCTTCATCTGCAGCCATCTGGTCAGTACGAGAGCTGATGTTTTAAAGGATGTCTGAAAATTAGGAGGTTTAAGAGACATTGTGACATTTTTCACAGGATTTTATTTAATAAATAAAATAAACTCCTGTGTAGCAGGATGAGGAATATAAACATGGGCCTGATTTTACCCACAACTGTAAAAACTCTTCTTGTCTTCCAGCTGTATCTGCTCCGCTTCCTTCTCCAGTCACCAGGACGTAAGCTGTTCCTCCTGCAGCGCCACCTGGTGTCCTCTCCTTCCATCTCCTCTCTCCTCGCTGTCCTCTAACTTGGACTTCATTCATCGGCTGTCGCAGTGGCTCAGTTTGGCCTCCAGGGAGCAGAAGACAAGGAGAGGAGAAGGAGGAGTGGAGGAAGAGGAGCAGAGGTCTGATCCCAGAGACCATCAGTCTCATGTGGAGGGTACCGATGTCGGCAGTCGCAGGTGACTGATCCGCTCTCCCTTCTTAATTATTTATCTTTTAGTTAAAGTTCTTGTGGAAATTTCTGCTGCATAAAGCAGCAGAGATACAGTCTTTGCTCAGAGCAGCATTTCTTCTCACTTATTAAAAGTTCATATAATTTTTAGG